TGACTCTATTTTTTTATTACAAATGTAGCTAAAAAAACGTTTTAACGTAGAGTTTTTCTCTGAATTTAACGTTTTTTTCTCTGAACTTCACAACGTTATTCCTAAAATGTAAACAAAATCTTGAAAAACACAACTTTATGCTTGAAAGTTTAAGTTTAACTCAACTTTCTTCTCTAAATTGAACACATTTTATTCTCTGAAGTTAGTGAGTTTGCTCTTAACATTTTATTTTAGCATATTTTTCTGTTTACATTTTTTAAAAATGTAACATGTTTTTTTTTCTTTAAGCATAATCAATTTAATCTCAAAACATAACAATTTCTGTCTAAAAATTTAATTTTATTCTTAAAAAATATAAACTTATTTCTTTTAATTTTAAATTTTAAAGTTAAAAGTTTATTTTAACTTTTTTTAGACTTTTCTCAAAATGTTTAGTTTCATCATCATTCTTCATTTTCATTCATTGTCTCAGTCACATGGTCCTCATGAATAATTAATATTTAAAACCATATTAGCCACACCCCCATGGTAAAATAACATGTGTAATTCTGAGCCCCACCTCCATCTGCTTCTCCCATACAGCCATGTCAACCAATCACTGCAGGCCATCACCACCGGCTCCGCCCCCCAAGACAAAATCATTGCCTAAACACGAGCAGGTAAACTCTGACCTCTGACCCCTGATGACCTCTCACTCCTTCCTCTCCATTTGTACACAAACATCCTCATCCTAATTTCATTTATAAATGGTTGTTATAAATGTATTAGATATTTAATAATAATATGAATATTATATTATTTAATATTAATTTAATTATTTCATAATTATCTGGAGATAATATGAGGGAAACTGATTATGATTTATAAATATTCTGTTTTTAAAAATGTGTAAAAAAGTAAAATTAAATCAGTACAAGTGCAGCTAAATATGACATTCATTGTTACAAGATAATATTTTATTATTATGAGAAAATAAGTGCTTATTACAAGATAATATCTCATTATCATGAGAAAGGCATTATTATGAGACAGTATCCCATTATTATGACTTGCAAATTATTACTGTTTTATTTCATGGTGGAAACAGACTTCCATATTTTAGTTCAACATTACTCAGAAACAAAAAACAAACAAACATTATTCTCAGTGTAACAAGTTATTTTCTATGAAGATAACTTTATTATCGAAATGTACATTTTTCTACTGTCAAAGCATAACTTCATTTCAAAATTGAACAAGTTTTTTTTCTTTTATTCTCAACATTTCTCAAAATATAACTTTTTTTCTCTAAAAATAATGACTTTAATCTGGAAATGTAAATAAAACATTTCTTGAAACTACTCAAAATTTGAAAACTTTTCTCTGAAGATGTATCACATTTTATTCTCTGAATTTAAAAGTTTATTCTCACCATTTTATTTAATATTTAAATTCTTATTATATTTAAATTCTGATTTTAAAATGTAACATTGTTTCTCAAAAAAAAATCTTTAAATTGAATTACTTAGATCTCTTAATTAATTTTTTTCTCAAAAGCTTGTTTTTTTTCAAAAAATCACAACTGTAATCTGGAAATATTTTTTTAAAGCTATTCTCAAAAAAAGTTACCATTATGAGATAATATCTCATTAATTTGAGAAAGTAAGTCATTATTACGAGTGATCTCATTATTATGAGAAAGCAAGTCAATGTGACAAGATAATATCTCATTATTATGAGAAAACAAGTCCTTGTTATGAGATATCTCAATATTATGAGAAAATATCTCATTATGAGATAATAATAAGAAAGTCATTATTACAAGAAAGTATGTCATTAATATGAGATAATATGATATAATAAGAAAGTCATTATTATGAAATATCTCATTGCTATGAGAGTCATTATTATGAGATAATATTGCATTATTATGAGAAAGTATGTCATTGTTATGAGATAATAATGAGAGTCATTATTATGAGATAGTAAGTCATTATTATGGGAAAAATTCTCATTATTACAAGTAATTATTATGTTTTAATATTACTGAGATAATATCTCATTATTATGAGAAAGTAAGTTGTTATTATGAAATATCTCATTATTATGAGACATTATTTAAAGAAGGTCATCAAAAACTGATCTACTTTTTTCTCTCAAAATGTATCACATTTTATTTTCTGAATTTAATAGTTTATTTTCAACACTTTATTTGCGATTTTGATCTCAACATTTATATTTTTTCCGAAAAATATACTTTTTCTCTGAATTTAATTACTTAATTCTCAACATTTTATTTATTCTTTTCTTAAAATGTAACTTTTTTTTCTAAAAATCATGACATTAATCTGGAAATGTAAACAGAAATTGAAACTTGAAATTGTAAGTCATTATTATGAGATAATATCTCATTATAATGAGAAAGTAAGTCATTGTTACGGGATAATATCTCTATATTATGAGAAAATATCTCATTATGAGATACAGTAATAATAAGAATGTCATTATTACGAGAAAGTATGTCATTAATATGAGATAATGAAAAAGCCATTATTGTGAAAAAACTGTCATTATGAGAAAATGTCTCATTATTTTGACATAATATGAGATAATAATAAGAAAGTCATTATTATGAGATATCTCATTGCTATGAGAGTCATTATTATGAGATAATATCGCATTATTATGAGAAAGTAAGTCATTGTTATGAGATAATATCGCATTATTATGAGAAAATATCTCATGAGATGATAATGAGAAAGTCATTATTACGAGAAAGTATGTCATTATTATGAGATAATAATGAGAGTCATTATTATGAGATAGTAAGTCATTATTATAAGAAAAATTCTCATTATTACAAGTAACTATTATGTTTTAATATTACTGAGATAATATCTCATTATTATGAGAAAGTAAGTTGTTATTATGAGATATCTCATTATTATGAAACATTATTTAAAGAAGGTCATCAAAAACTGATCTACTTTTTTCTCTCAAAATGTATCACATTTTATTTTCTGAATTTAATAGTTTATTTTCAACATTTTGTTTACGATTTTGATCTCAACATTTATATTTTTTTCGAAAAATATACTTTTTCTCTGAATTTAATTACTTAATTCTCAACATTTTACTTTTCCTAACGTTATTTTTTTTCTAAAAATAATTACTTTAATCTGAAAATGTAAAAAAAAATCCTTAACTATTTTTTTTTTCATTTTAAAAAATTCTCAACCTCTTTTCTCAAGATTTATTACATTTTATTTTCTGACTTTCATAGTTTAATCTCAACATTTAATTTAGACTTTTTTAAACAACTTGAAACAACTTTAATTCTAAAATGTATGAAATTTTTTCTCAACTTTGTTCTCAAAACGTATCATGTTTTTTCTTAAAACATGATGAATTTAGTCTTGAAATTGAAAAAAATCTCCAAACAAATGTTCTTAGATTTTAAATGAATTTTGTAAAACTTTGACATTTTCAAATATAAAAAATAGAAATAAGTAAATAAAAAAAAAAAGAAAGAAAAACTTCTAACCAAAAATTTTAATCTTTATTTTCATCTCAACAATATGGTTGGTCAATGGTTGATCCAAGACAAATACTTTTTTAGGCTAATAATATTGACCTTAAAAGTCCTTAAAACAATGAAAAACTGCTTTTACTCTGGCCGAATCTAAACAAATCAGACTTTCTCCAGAAGAACAAATATTAGAGGAAACACTGTGAGAAATTCCTGAATCTGTTCAACATCTACTGGGAAATATTCACTGGAGGGCGAATAATTTTGACTTGACTGTAATCTGTAATCAGGTGTGTATAGTGTCTGCATGTATTGATGTGTATGTGTGTGTGTGTGTGTGTGTGTGTGTGTGTGCGCGTGCGTGTGTGTGTCAGGTTTTCCTCAGGTATGCTGGGTCTGTCAGTGGGTCTGGAGGGTCTGGTATCATCGGTCAGTGCAGTAAAGCAGTCATCATCTCCAAACCAGCCCGTCTCCAAACACATGGAGAGAGGAGAACATCTGAGCGAGCAATAACACACACACACACACACACACACTGGACTCAAAGAGGGAACACACACATTCCTCTGAACACACACACACACACACTCATCATTTGTACAGTCTGGAGGATGTTTTTGACTGGCGCTCTCCTGTTTTTACATCAGCATTAGTAAAGGACGGCGTCCGCTAGTTTGAGGCGTGTATTTTTCACTATCTTGCCTACATTCTTCATCTTTGAGTGTGAGTTTAGCTGAAATAAAGCAGGCAATAGATGACAGTCAAAGCCACGCCCACTCAGCCATCCGTCAAGATGATTGACAGCTCAGCGCTCGCTCTGATTGGCAAGATATCTCAGACTTTGATGATTGACAGCTCAGTGCTCAAATGAAACCCGCTCAAATAATATATGCAGGTTCATGACTCTCTCTGATTGGCAGAGCTCAATGATTGACAGCTGAGCACTTGTTTCAGTTGGCTGAACTTTCAAACTTTGACGACTGACAGTTCAGTGCTCGCTTTGATTGGCAGAGAGATCTCAGACTTTGATGATTGACAGCTCAGTGCTCAAATAAAATCTGCTCAAATAAAACACACAAGTTCATGACTCGCTCTGATTGGCTGAGCTTGCAGACTTCCGTGATTGATAGCTCAGCTCTTGCTCGGATTGGCTGAGCTCTTAGACTTCAATGATTGACAGCTCAGCTCTAGCTCTTAATGGCCAGAGCTCTTTGACTTCATTGATTGACAGCTCAGCGCTCTCTCTCTCTGATTGGCTGAGCTCTCAGATTTCATTGATTGACAGCTCAGCACACGCTCTGATTGGCTGAGCACTCAGACTTCAGTGATTGACAGCTCAGCTCTTGCTCTGATTGGCCGAGCGCTCAGCCTTTATTGATTGACAGCTCAGCGCTCAAATGAAACCCGCTCAAATAAAATATGCAGGTTCATGACTCTCTCTGATTGGCTGAGCTCTCAGACTTTGAGTAATCACTCAGCTCTTGCTCTGATTGGCTGAGCTCTCAGATTTGGATGATTGACAGCTCAGTGCTCGTTCTGATTGGTCAAGCTTTCAGACTTAATGACTGACAGCTCAGCTCTTGCTCTGATTGGCCGAGCTCTCAGTCTTTAATGATTGATAACTCAGCACTTGTTCTGATTGGCTGAGCTCTCAGACTTTGATGATTGACAGCTCAGCACTCGCTCTGATTGGCTAAGCTCTCAGACTTCAATGATTGATAGCTTAGGACTCTCTCTGATTGGCCAAGCCCTCAGACTTCAGTGATTGACAGCTCAGCTCATGCTCTGATTGGCCAGAGCTCTCAGACTTCAATGATTGACAGCTCATGCTCTGATTGGCCAGAGCTCTCAGACTTCAATGATTGACAGCTCAGCTCATGCTCTGATTGGCCAGAGCTCTCAGACTTCAATGATTGACAGCTCAGCTCATGCTCTGATTGGCCAGAGCTCTCAGACTTCAATGATTGACAGCTCAGCTCATGCTCTGATTGGCCAGAGCTCTCAGACTTTAATGATTGACAGCTCAGCTCATGCTCTGATTGGCCAGAGCTCTCAGACTTCAATGATTGACAGCTCAGCTCATGCTCTGATTGGCCAGAGCTCTCAGACTTCAATGATTGACAGCTCAGCTCATGCTCTGATTGGCCAGAGCTCTCAGACTTTAATGATTGACAGCTCAGCTCATGCTCTGATTGGCCAGAGCTCTCAGACTTCAGTGATTGACAGCTCAGCTCATGCTCTGATTGGCCAGAGCTCTCAGACTTCAATGATTGACAGCTCAGCTCATGCTCTGATTGGCCAGAGCTCTCAGACTTCAATGATTGACAGCTCAACTCATGCTCTGATTGGCCAGAGCTCTCAGACTTCAATGATTGACAGCTCAGCCCATGCTCTGATTGGCCAGAGCTCTCAGACTTCAGTGATTGACAGCTCAGCTCATGCTCTGATTGGCCAGAGCTCTCAGACTTCAATGATTGACAGCTCAGCTCATGCTCTGATTGGCCAGAGCTCTCAGACTTCAATGATTGACAGCTCAGCTCATGCTCTGATTGGCCAGAGCTCTCAGACTTCAATGATTGACAGCTCAGCTCATGCTCTGATTGGCCAGAGCTCTCAGACTTTAATGATTGACAGCTCAGCTCATGCTCTGATTGGCCAGAGCTCTCAGACTTCAGTGATTGACAGCTCAGCTCATGCTCTGATTGGCCAGAGCTCTCAGACTTCAATGATTGACAGCTCAGCTCATGCTCTGATTGGCCAGAGCTCTCAGACTTCAATGATTGACAGCTCAACTCATGCTCTGATTGGCCAGAGCTCTCAGACTTCAATGATTGACAGCTCAGCCCATGCTCTGATTGGCCAGAGCTCTCAGACTTCAGTGATTGACAGCTCAGCTCATGCTCTGATTGGCCAGAGCTCTCAGACTTCAATGATTGACAGCTCAGCTCATGCTCTGATTGGCCAGAGCTCTCAGCCTTCAGCCAAGGAACATTCCCCGTGTGTTCAGTTCAGTTTTCTCTCTGCTTTTGTATTTGATCTCTGGAGAGGTTTTGTTTCCACTGTAAGACTCAGGAAAATCACACCGTTGCTGTTTGTTTGTTTGTGTATCTTCTTCTCCATCAGACGTTAGGATTGTTTGTGCTGTACAGTAGATGAAGCGTTCTGTCCTGTTGTGTTGATCTTCATCTCTCGTTGGGTTTGTTCTGTTTGTTTGTCAGATTATCGGGAGCTGAGTGGGACTTTCTTTCTTTTATTGTGATTTTATTATTATTTGTTTCTTGTA